CATTTGAGAAAATGAGAAGTTTTACATTTCATCATCACACGAACAAGATAAGGTTGGTATTATATTTTTGTTTCGGAAAAAGTGAAAATCCTCCGAAAAATGGCGACTCTCTTCACTGCGACGGTTCCTTCCCACCACCGTTTCTTGTCTCCTTCCCAACATCCGAAACAGAATCTTCAATCTCAGCCTCAAAGCGTCGCCTTTACTGAGAATCCGGCACCGGAGCCGGTCACATTGCAGCAGGAGATGACGGATTGGGTCTCTTCTCCGGTGACACGACGGTTCGGAATCGGCGCCGGATTTGCCTTGACGGGGTTTGCGGCTTTCGGCGTCGTCTCCGACCAGACGAAGTCAAGATTCGAGATGTTACAGGAAGACGATAACTCAAGGTTCGTATTAAGAACTGAAGAAGAAAGATGAATCAGTGATTTGTTTTTATTATAGTGACAAGATTAGAGCTTTAGCTAGTTTATTGTTCTTGAATGACATTTTGGGTTTTGTAACCAAATACTCACAAAATCTTGAAATGTCTCTTGTGTAATTTTCTGGAATATTGGCAGAGGTTTAGAAATGCAAGAAGAGATCATCTTACCAAACGGCATAAGGTAACATTCTGAAAATGTTTGAGAAGTTTCCATTGTTGAGATTTAGTAATGATATGTCATATGTTGATTTTTTACCGGGTTGTTCGGGTAATTTCGGTTTGGGTTTGAACCCGAATGGGACTTATAGGCTTGATACCGAAAACCCCGAACGGGTACCTGAATGCGAGTCCTATGTGGATCTATATCTGCTCTTACTGAGCCTGAAACTTGTTGTATACCTTAACATTCATCGCAAACCCAAGCTCTTGAGTCTTGTCTAAATGGAATTGAACTGTGACAGGTACTATGATCTACAAGTTGGAAGTGGAGCTACACCAAGTTCAGGATACTTAGTAGTGTTTGATGTAAAGGGACGAGTACGTGGAACCGAACAAGTATTCGTAGACACATTTGGAAGCAAAGACAAGAAGAAGAAGTCACTAGCTATGGTAATGGACTCAAGACCATATAGCAAAGGACTATGCCAAGGCATAGAGTACGTTCTGAGGTCAATGAAAGCTGGTGGTAAACGTAGAGTGATAATCCCACCGTCTTTAGGATTCGGAGATAAAAATGTCGAATTCGGACTGGGTTTGCAGATTCCTCCATCTTCAACACTTGATTATCTCATCGAGGTTGATACAGTCTATTGTTTCCAATCTATTGTATGAGAGAGATTAATGAAGCAAAATATTGTATAAAGTTTCACACTTTTTCTTTTTGCGTGTGCGTGCGAAGAATCTTCAAGAAATCAAGAACTTGTAATTTTCGTGTACTAAATAAAAACGGCACGGTGTTTTCTTCGTAGCCACATAAATCCATCGGGGTCTTAGCCATACACTAATGTTAAAAAATGGCGACTTTTCTCAAAGTCTACACATTTTTTTCTTCTTCTCTCATTTATCCGATAGAGGAAATAACGAATCGTTTCTCTTGGATCGTAAAGAAAGAATTATTCTTTGGAAATTATTCTGCTTTTGTTTTATAGAATGGGAACGGTTCTCGATTCGCATTTCCTGGCTCTCACTGCCATTGTTACTGTAAGTTCTCTGCTTTTTTTTTCCGGGGTTTGGAAATTATGAGTTGTGTTTACCTGATTTGGTGTTATTAACTGATGGGTTCTTGTCTGATTTCGTATATTTGCAGGTGGTTTATCAGTTTATATTCTTCGTAATCACGGCTCTGTTCAAATTTGATCAAGTCACTGACTTTGCAGGTAAACGACGATTTTTAAGTACTTTTACCAA